TAATTATTGAATTAATACTTCGCGCATTGGCAAATTCTAACAAGCTTTTCGAGCATCAATTGTCTTGGCTATTGATCAAATTTCGCTCTATCTTCCGATCTCTCGATAGAGATTAGGGATACTTCGGGTTCTAGAGGAAGGATTGTACGATCCAAAGTCGAGTTACATTACAGCTACATTCCTCCGCGCAATGCAACGCATTAAATGACTTTACTTAACTTGATATAAAAGATCGCATGTATAATCTCGAATTCCACCACAATGAATGTATTGCATCATTGCATTTGAGCGATTATTGATGCAACCGGGCCTTACAATTAATAAGTTACCATCAGAAATATTCGTGCACATGGCTACATAGTTCATGTCCATATTTTGTAGAGGCGCTAATGGGTGAAACATGAAAACCAATTACCAAACGAAGTGAAACAAGAGCGTATTTATATTCGGTAAGACTTTTTTTCATTTCTTTATAATTCTTTCTAATATTATAATAACAATAACTTCATTGAATTCTAAGTTAGATATTAAACATATTATAATAACATAGTTTATCTGCGGATAACTGAAACGGAAATGAGATACTTTTTTGCATGCGTATTATAATAATTGACATAAGAAATTAAACGAAATTATATCGGCATTTTTGAATCCTTGTGAGTTATTCGTAGTTATCTTCAAGTTTTGACTTGATAGCCAATCATAGTGGCAACACGACTCACGTGACACACGTCAAGCTGCCTTCTTGAGTGTAATCTCTGTACGCAATATTTCATGCTGCAACAGGTGTTTATAAAGTTTTATTGACATAAGTATGTAGAGATATTCAATCTTAGCAAATGAACTTGTTAAGACGTGATGATATTTAAATCGCAATAATTACTGAAAGATACCTTTAAATACACTATTATATCTTGATAATTATTCAATTTAACTCTCTCTTCAATTTCAATCGACGTATATCGAGTATGAATAAACATACAGCTTCTGACAGTGCACAGTGTGTTTCACCAAATTCGAAAGACGAAAAAAATAATGTTTTAGCTGCTTATCATACTCTGATATTTTCAAAAAAAGATGAGGACTGCTTCGATGTCGCAGATATTGAACGCAAGTCGCTCGCTATGAAGTATATGACAACAAAGTTATCGTAAGTAAAATGCACACATACTCCATAATTTTTTGTAGCGTTAAATTTATCATACATTTTTGTTTTCTCATTATTGAACAGCAATTCAGAGGATAAGGCAGCTGTATTGCTCCAAAAGGGTCTTAAAGATTATCACAGCCTAATAAAGGATAAGAATGGAGTAAACAATTACTGGAAGCAGATTAAATCTCAACTGTCAACAGATGTAAAAAATGATCCATTGAAGTGGAAGTCAGAATTAGATGTGGACACTACGTTAAATTTTATAAAACCTTTGACTTGTCAGAAGCTCAATACTCTACCTTGCAAAGCAAAATCTTACAATGATAGGGATATAGAGAATCTAATGAATAATTCAAAGAAGGATATAGAAAGAAATAGAAAAATCTGTTCACAGTTACAATCGGCTTCTAGTCAGAATTCAAGTCAAAAACTTTTATTAAAGCCTAATAATAGTGAACAAGATGTATCTACATATTTCACAAATATTCCCAGAAATTTTAATAAGCATGTAAGTTCCACCAAACAGAATGTTTCCAAAGTACAAACAAATAATCAATCTTCCTATCAGACTCTGGACAGATTTGTGAAAAAAGTACCTCCTAAGTTAAGCAATAATAATATGAATGGTAAAAGCTTGTACAGACCAATAAATCCTCATGTGCTACAATTAAAACCAGTTGCTCCTCCACAGACGATCAATGAAAACGCCAATACACAAAAAATCGATTTCGATTCCTTTAGAAGTGCCAGAGACGAATTGTACATCCAAGAGATGAAGAAGAACAAGTCGGCGCCAAAGAAGACTTTAGGCGGCCGAGGGGCGGCTAATTCACAATTTGTTTGTCCTTTCAAACGTGATAAGGAAGAGCCAGCGCAGAGCTACAATGCACTGCAAGGTAAAGCGAACGCAGAAGTAGAGGATGAAAGGCTAAAGAACATTGATCCAAATATGATCGAGTTGATAAAAAATGAGATCATGGATTCAGGTAAAACGATAACATGGGACGACATCGCCGGGCTCGAATACATCAAAAAGATCGTCAAAGAAGTAGTAGTGTTTCCCATGTTGAGACCGGACATCTTCACAGGTCTCCGTCGTCCACCTAAGGGGATTTTACTGTTTGGCCCACCTGGAACAGGAAAGACCCTCATCGGCAAATGCATAGCTTCGCAGAGCAAGTCTACATTTTTTTCGATTTCAGCGAGCTCCCTGACTTCCAAGTGGATTGGCGACGGCGAGAAGATGGTACGCGCGTTATTCGCAGTGGCCAGGGTACATCAACCGTCCGTCGTCTTCATCGACGAGATCGATTCGTTGTTGACGCAGCGTTCGGAGACGGAACACGAGTCTTCTAGAAGGTTGAAGACGGAGTTCCTGGTGCAGCTAGACGGCGCAGCAACATCTGAGGAAGATCGTATTCTAATCGTTGGTGCAACCAATCGACCGCAAGAGCTGGACGAGGCGGCGAGAAGACGTCTCGTCAAGAGATTGTATGTTCCTCTGCCAGAGTTCGAGGCGCGTAAGCAAATAATAGATAATTTATTGAAGTCAGTGAATCACAATCTTAATGAAGAGGATATCACGAGGATCGCGAAAAAATCGGCAGGATATTCTGGCGCTGATATGACTAATCTCTGCAAGGAGGCAAGTATGGAACCAATCCGCAGCATTCCCTTCAGCCAACTTGAAGATATTAGAATGGAGGAAGTGAGGCACATAACGAATAGTGATTTTGAACAGGCGCTAATTAACGTACGACCCAGCGTGTCTCAATCGGATTTAAACAATTACATCGAATGGGATCGTACTTATGGTTCTGGTACTGCTCAGAGTTGTAAAACCTAATGTAATACATACAAATAACTTAATTATATTTTTTATCTCAATAGTGTGTTATTTATATGTATATACATAAATTACCGAAAAGAAATTCTCTCTAGTTTTATTTTTGTAACTTCAAGTTTTCTAATAAATACATTATTTTGTGCAAAATTAAATTTTCTTTTTAATAAAAATTTTTTCTTTATTCCTAATTATTACACGATTAAAATATTAGCTATTAATTAAACATATTTGTTAAAATAAATGGTGTGCCTTGTAATAATCTAGGTAATTATAATTTATAACAAATTTTTAGTTACTCTGTATTACACTAGCTGTAAAAATTACTTTTATATGAAATTAAAACAAAATGTTGAAAATGAAGATTTTAAACGATACCTATGATATCGTCACGTTATTTAATATAATATATACATGTCATTATTTCATTGTCAAAGTTAATTATTATTATGTCACTGTATTTAGATATTTATATAAAGCAATCTTTAATACGTACTAATCCAGTGTAGTAGTACAAATGATTAAATTCGTCAGTATAAAATCCTGTATATTATCGTGTAATTTCAAAAACGGCATATATATATATTAATATATTATGAATTGTGTATTCTTTATATTATAATTATTTAGATTTGTTAAAATAATATAAATAAATTATTTCTATTATATTTATGAATTATATAATATTTATATTATTTTGTATGATTTATTGATTGCGTTCAGCATACTCAACAGTTTTACAACTGTCTTTATGATTCCTCGCTAAGATAGCTAGAACTATTCCTTTAGATCTAAAAGTATAATCCAATCAGCGAGACGAATCATAAAACGGTTGCAAAACTGTTGAGTCTGCTGAACGTAGCCATTGGACGAGTTTAAGACGGTAAAGCGATCGAATATGATTGGTTGGATCTGGAATAAACAGTATGTATTCCATAGTACATGATTTCTGATAGGTTGAAATTTTATTCTCTGTTCTTTGTTCCCTGTTCCTTTTATTCTGCGCAGCCTTAAGCCAGCGGCACACGATGCTTGTTTTCCTGCTGGATTGCTAGCTATATCAGATTCTTGCCATCGGATTGGCCACGATACTGACACTTTCAACACCGCAGCCAATACGGTGGAAAGATTTTAATCCAGCTAGCAATCCAGCAGGAAAACAAGCACCGTGTGCCGCTGACTTAAGTAATAATCAATGGGCGCATTCAGCAGAAAAGAGCGCTACGAGAGCGCTCGCTGTTATTGGTGTATTCTTCTAGATCATCCAATCAGAATTTTAAATCTGGAAGAATATACCAATAACAGCGAGCGCTCTAGTAGCGCTCTTTTCTACTGAATGCGCCCAATTATGTTCAATCACTCGCGGCAAGCTTTACTTTGCCGTTTTGAACTCGCCCATTGATATCTCAGATTCTTTGCCATATTGCAGCGCATGCGCAGAATCGAGACGATGCTAGAAATAATTGGCTTTTTGTTAGGTTAAATTCGTCGATTGCAACTTACGTCTTGCGTATACTTGCAAGATCCAGTCCAGCCTAGGTAGTGGCAGCCAGAGATAGAGCAAGCTAGAGCGTTCACTCCATATTTCCAGTCTCGTTCGAATTATTCGGATTGATTATTTTCGAGTGTGGACGATGTAGAGAGGCCGTTTTCGCCTGCAAGTAAACCAGAGGTAAACAGTCGCATGAGTCACATACATTTTGCATGAGATAATTTCAGATCATTCGCTAATTTACCGTTGCTGATATTTTTGTAATCTTAATAGAAACATTATTCATTACTTGGGACTATTCTGAGTCGGTAGTCCTAAATCTTATCGGTGAAGTTGGTCGTTTATTTCGTACAAAAACGCGTCGAATGAGTGTATTTTTATCAAAATTTGAGGTGAACGGGTACTTCTTAACATTTACCCAAATATGCAAAAATTTATAGTTACCTATATTTAGGTTAAGACTAGTTAGAACTTAAAATTTCCAACTACTAACTCATTGTAGATTCAACGTAATGTTCAATCAAAGCAACTCATTGAGGACGGGAACGTCGAATACATCAAATCCAATGCAAGACTTTGAGGTTGTCTCGCCGCCTGATGACTCAGTCTCAAGCCTGGCGTTCAGTCCAGCGTCAATACCACAGAATTTTCTAGTGGCTGGCTCCTGGGACTGTAATGTTCGTTGCTGGGAAGTAGAGCAATCAGGCAAGACTGTACCAAAATCAATGCAAAGTATGGCAGCGCCTGTCTTAGCTGTGTGCTGGAGCGATGTAAGCTCTTTGATAATTATATAATTAGCTTGATTAAATGTATTTTTATTGAGATTTGAGGTGGACGGGATATTTTCAACATTTATCTGCAATTATCAAGGACCATATTCTCAAAAAATATTCCATATGAAAATTTATAAAATACTCTAGTATATATATTGATTGCTTTCCATTTGTACCAAATCTTAAGTCATTTATAATTATGATGTCATGATTCAATTGAATGCATATTCTTTTTCATTCTGACAAGTGAGATTTAACTAAGTTTTGTCTATAATCTCCACAAGCTCGAGATTGTATGCTATACTGAATCTTGTTAACTCACATTAAAAGTGAGATGACAAACCTATTGTTATATGATAATTTTGCAAAAGCAAGTTTTATTTGGATATAAAATATTCACATAACTTTAGACTTAGTATCACTTGTATAAGAATGAAAAGCAACTACTATAAATCTTTTCATTATCTTTGTATGCAATATTTTTCAACATAGTTTCTTTTTCCTTTTTTTTATTTCCAACATGAAATAAAACAGAAAATATGATTTGATCAAAAAGTACAATTAACAAAATAGACTTTATACATGGTGAACATGACTCTAGATAGCATGGACATTCTCATAATATTGTAGTTATATGTTACAAGATTATTATAATATTGCTGAAATCTTCCATGCTACCTGGATAACTAAATAACAGTATTAAATATTATACACTTATAAGTTATCTAATAATTATTAGGATGGAACCAAAGTATTTATGGCGGGTTGCGACAAGACAGCAAAGTGCTGGGATTTGGCTACAAATCAAAGTGTACAAGTAGCAGCTCACGATGCACCTATTAGAACATGTCACTGGATAAAAGCATCTACATATTCCTGTCTAATGACTGGTTCCTGGGATAAGACATTGAGGGTTAATATTCAACTTTCTATTTTATTTTAATGTTATATTTGCAAATTATCAAATTTTTTAATTTATTAGTCTGTCAGTTTTCTTATAGCAAACTTGATCATTTGTCTTAATTACATTATACTAGATTAATACATATATTAAACATATTAAAAATTATAAATATTTAAAACAATTAAATATCTAATAATGTCTAATAATGATGTTGTTATGTTATTTAACTTGTAATATAATAGAATGTAAAATGTACATTGTATTGTTATTATTAAAATTGGTTATATCATGCCACTAGATTTAGATACTTTACATAAGGTGGTTTTTCTTTAAGAAACACAATTGACACAAACTACGTTATATTCTTAGCATTCAATGAATAACAAAGATAGAAAGAGCACTTGTATTGACTGTATTTCGTAAAAAAAAAAAGCAGCTTAAAGCTGCCTTTAATGTGTACTAATTTAGTGTAGTGCGAGTGATCGAATTCATGATTAAATATTAGTCACTTAATATTAATCACAATTGTTAATTTTTTTTTTAATATTGACTTTCATCACAATGTAAAATTTCCAGTTTTGGGATCTGCGTAGTCCTAAACCTGCAATGACTATTAATCTGCCTGAAAGATGCTATTGCTCAGATGTGGTAAATACACACAAATCATATAATAAAATATTACACTGATGTGTAGCATTATTAATATTAATAATATTGCAGGACTATCCTATGGCAGTTGTGGGAACAGCTGGGCGTGGTTTAATAGTTTATCAACTAGAAGGCAGTCCTCGTGAATATAAACCCGTCGAGTTGAGCCTAAAATATCAGTACCGTTGTGTGGCAATCTTTAGAGACAAGAAGAAAGTACCGACCGGTTTTGCAATAGGAAGCACGGAAGGACGCGTTGCAATTCATCATCTGAATCTCAGTACAAAGGAGAACTTTACGTTTAAATGCCACAGGACCAATGGCACGCCTAATGGATATCAAGATATCTATGCGGTTTGTTAGACTTTCCTTTAAAATGGAATTGAATTAAGATTATGTTAAGCTTACTTCAGATTAAGGTTGAGATTGGATTTAATCAATTAGAACAAAGGAAAATGTGTAGATCTATTCTTTTCAGCTAAACTTATGGTACAGTTTATCCATTTTCTCTTTTTCTCCATTTTTGGAGAAAAAAAAGAAAATGTGAGCGTACAAAAAAGCTAAAAAGAACAGGTCTGAGGCTTTTCAAGTTAATAATTTCTGCTTTGATTGATCAAATTCCAATCCATCTCCATTCTAATTTGTAATCTTACACAGATTTTACGTTTTTTATCTTCTTGTAAACAATTGCAATAATTTATTGATTCGCGCGGACAGGTAAACGATATAGCATTCCACCCGGTACATGGCACGGTAGCGACCGTAGGCGGCGATGGTACTTTCGGATTTTGGGACAAAGATGCACGTACTAAACTGAAATCCTCTGAAACAATGGAGCAACCCATCACACGTTGCTGTTTCAATCACAATGGACAGATATTTGCATATGCTGTTTCTTACGATTGGTCAAAGGTATCGCTGCATGAATTTGAAGTATGATAATCGTTAAAAGGTCTGTGTGTAACATTATTATTAATTTACAAATATTTCAGGGCCATGAGTACTATATTCCGGCAAAGAAAAATCAGATATTTTTGAGACCTTGTTACGATGAACTAAAACCGAAGGCTACGCCTTAAGCTGGATGACATTCGAGCGAAACAATGTGTGAATCTAGGTGCAATTACGAGGATTCACGTATTTTTATTCGATAAAAACTGTACTATCGATACTTTTTTTTACGTACAACTGTTAATATGCGTGTAATGTAAAATACAGTTAAAACAGTAATTATTGGGGTTTTTTTTGTACGTTAGACATAAAGAATTGGTACTGGGAAACACGTTTTGATATAATGTCGTTTGTGTATCTTATTTGTTAGTATTTATTTTTACAAGAGAACCTGAACACGACGATGAATTCTAAGACATTGGACGATAGTAGAGCGATGCCACAATTCATAAAGCGAGCTGATATTTACATAATCCTTTCTATAAAATATACATTTTTTTAACAAAATTACACATGCATGCCTTTTTTTACGTTCAATATCATTTCCTTTCTATGACTGAATAGTGCGTTACATTCGAGTGACAGTAACTGTGTAAGTTTAACAGTTGTGAACATATATCATTAGAGCTCTAAAAAGCTGATATATAATTATTATTAATTAGGTGATATTATTAGATATATTTAACTATAATAGGATTTATTCCTGATGACATTGAATTTAAATTATTTTTCTTGCCCCAAAAAGTTATTAGGATTATTGGCAAATAATAAATAAAATAAAAAAGAAATGATAATCTTATAAATTTTTCCTTTATCAACTGTTGATATGATTTTGTTATCTCTAGTGTTTATCTATTGAGTTATGCGATCTAGAGTTCTCTCGTCGCATGCAGATTAACATGTATAAATCGATTAAAAGCAACACAGAAATATAAACAATATGGCCGATGTATGAGATACGTCAGTACGCAAAAGCGACACTACTTAATAAATCAATATTTAAGCTATGCATATTGCAATCAATTGCAATGCCGTATAGACCTATCATTTAAATGCGCGGATCGACCAATTTCTCCCTGAGAGACAAATTCTCCGCGTTACGATGTCGTCGGAGAAGGTAGGTTATGCAGCCTCGACAGTTGTATTTTATGGAATTATTAATAAAAACGTCAATTTTAATGATTTAAGAAGGGAAAAATATATTCTATTTTGACCATCAAATTTGCATCTCTATTCGTCTCATTTGATTTCATTATGCGAATTTTCAAGGTGTTTTTTATTCCTGTAGTAGACTGCACTTTTTTCTCATTTTAGCTACAGGTATCAAATAGATACTCTTATTTCAATTTAAATTTAAAAAAAGGGTAGTCCAACTAATTCAACTATAAGAAATAGACCTATAGAAAAATGCCTATCTAATCTTATATATTTGATGACAGATTCTTTATCGACTAGACCAACCCCATGGCAATGGCAACGTCTGTATTTCTTGGCGGCCTGGTAATAGCACACATTTGGCCACAACAGGTTGCGATTCCACCGTTGCGGTTTTCGATAGACAGGGAGACATTCAGGAACGGATACAAATTTCTGGATTATGCACTGGCTTTGGCTGGGACTCAGATGGGGATCTATTAGCAATAATATCACAAAATTCTTCAACTATAATTCTATGGGATGCCACAACTGGGAAAAAGGCCCAGATAGATGCGGGTGTAAGAGATGGGCTTACTTGTATGATGTGGGCAAAGAAGAGTTGTCTACTAGCTATAGGGACACAAAAGGGAAATTTTGTGCTTTACGATCACATAAATGCCAAGTAGGATATCAGCCATAATGAGATAGATACTGTTTCCTAGAAAAAGACATAAAGTAACGTAGTGATCATTTAATATTTGTTTTAACATTAGCAACAAGGATGTAATAATTTATTGTAAACGGTATATAAAATAGAGTCTAAAGTTGATTATACTGTGTACTACTACATATGTATATGCCACTAGATTTAGATATTTTATATAAGGCAGCATTTAATATACTAATCCAGTGTAATGTGAGTGACCAAATTTGTCATTACTTAATTTATACTATCTCACTTTATATTCTTAATTAAAGTTACAGAATGAGACAGTATAAGTTTTGTGTGTGTACACATAAGTAGACAGTATACATACATTTTCTTGATAGAATTTTAAATTATTTATATATTATAAAATTATAATAGAGATTCTGTTACAGAATCTCTAATACACTGTGTTATCTGTATCTCTTGTTAGAAAGCATTCACAATGTGTAAAATATTTTAAAATTGTTTTATTTAATTGTGTTATACAGGCGGATACCTATTTTAGGAAAACATAGAAAGCGCATTGTATGTGGCGCGTGGTCGATGGATGGTCTTCTTGCCTTGGCAAGTGAAGACAAGGTTTTAAGTATCAGTACGAGCGAAGGAGATACACGTCGAGAAATAAATCTTCAAGGCGATCCCTCTCTTATACAATTTAGCGAGATGAAAATGGATCATAGAATAGGCGGTGAAAACACGGTATATGATTTTACATCACTCACTATTAAAAATATCTATAAAATATTTATATAAAGCTGTTACTTTTACCCAAAAATGTGTTTAGGTATCCCTTATCGTTAGTAAAACGACATTGTTTTTGTATAACATTCTGGACCCAGAAAACCCTATTGAATTGGCCTTTCAGAAACGTTATGGATTAATCGTAACTTACAAGTGGTAATTATTTGCTAGTATTAACAAATAAGTTTAATAAAATAGCTCCAATTTATTAATCAATAATGCGCATGCATTTCTACTTTATAGGTATGGCGATGGTTACATATTGGTGGGATTCGAAGCTGGTTTCTTTATAGCGATATCGACACATATAAAGGAAGTTGGTCAAGAATTGTTTCAAACCAAGAATCACAGAGATTATATGTCGGACATTGCGCTGAGCCAAGCGGTTGGAAAAGTAGCTACTTGCGGCGACAATACGCTAAAAGTACATAGTTTGCAGAATCTGGAAGAAACCGAAACGTTGATCACGGTGACCAACGAGAATGGAATCAAAAATATCGAATGGTCGACGGACGGAACGATGCTGGCAGTTGTAACTTACGTCGGCAATGTTTTAATTTATTTGATAGAGATTCCAAAATTAACCAGTGTCTGTGGCAACAGAATAGCATTGTTAACAAGTCTGATGGAAGTAGCTGTACATCTTTATACTTTAGACAAGGTATTTTTGTCAACACATAATAATAAAATAGATTTTTTTTATCAGAGCAAATTATACTTTCAGGATAAACCAAGCCCGCAAATAATCAATACTATAATAGAACCGGCAATATTAGCAGTGGGACCAATACATTTAGCAGTAGGATTAAATAACAGAGCGCTTTTTTGGGATTTGTCTATAAGCCATTACGATCAAATACATTTTGAAAGAGATTATTTGGCTACGATAGATAGCATGCGTTTAAATGAGACATATGTATCGGCTTTATTCGATGGAAAATTGCAATTACATTCGGTAATAAAGAATTTTTAATTAATAGTAAAAACTTCAAAACAAGACAGGCTCATTAATTCTGCTTTATGCGCAGATTAAATCCGATCAGGCTCTAATAAATAGCGGGAAGGATACAAAGATGTTTCCAGATTCAAATTCTTCCTATAATAGAATAACGTGTCACGCACTTTGTTCTGATTTTCTGGTTTACGGTAATGACGTAAGTTAGCATTATGAGATACTTTTGAATAATATTATAAGTTAATAGACTTTATACGTCCGTTTTTCAAATTTTTAGATGGGTCATCTTATATATTTTTGCTTGGAAACATTTCATCAATGTACCGAATTTATACATAACAATGGAATAAAAGAACTATATCTGGACGCGAATGGAATACAATTGTGTTTCATTGACAATAAGTTAGATGCTTATGTGTTTGATCCGATAAACGAAGCGGCCATTGCTGTGCCTGATTGTCCTGATAACATTGATGGTATTCTCTGGGATCAGAACATATTTGAACGTGCTATATTCGCAGTGTATAACAAAAGCATTATTGTAACATATATTTTCGTAAAATACTTTGTTGAAGGTAAGTAGACCTGAATGAGCGTTGTGCATTATCATTATGGAGTCTTATTTACTTGATTATGTCATGAACAGGTACCAAAGTAATAAAAATCAATACAACTAAGTTGCCATCAGACTCAGTGCCTTTATTAATGTACTCAGGCGAAGTAACACTGAGCACAATGGGTAGTAAATTAATACAATTAACATTAGCATCCCACGAAGAAGTGGGGAATATTGTGGAATCGAAAAAAATTATTGAGATTTTAGAGAATCAAATTTTGTGCAGACGGTAAGTTCTACATAATCCAATTTGCAAGTGGGAAAATGTGTATAAAATATTTTTTTTTAATGCTTTTGAATTATTTTCTAGATTTCAGCAAGCATGGAATAGTTGCGAAAAATTAAACGATAAAGATACGTGGATGAAACTAGGACAAAGCGCCATTGCAAATTTAAATATCGAATTTGGTAAGTGTAATGTTGTTGTATTATTGTTATATAATTATAATATTGATAATTAATGTTATATAGTCATTAATTTTATATATTACGATATTTTATATTATTGACACGTATGTTAATTGAATTGATCATACGCCATAGCTATTCGCGTGTATCGGCAAATGGAAGATGCAGCAATGGTGTGGACGTTACAAGCTATGGAAAATATAGATGAATTGGCTTTGTTGTGCGGTCACGCATGTATATTACTAGGAGATTATAACGAAGCCGAAAAGTATTTTCTGCAATCTTCCGAACCTGTACAGGCCTTATATCTGAGGAGAGATTTAATGCAATGGGAACAAGCATTGAGTTTGGCACAAAAATTAAAACCTGACGAGATTCCTTTTATCGCCAGAGAGTACGCCCAACAATTGGAATTCACGTAAGATTTTTTTATTAATATTATTAAAGTACTTCATTAAAAATAAAATCAGATTATATGTGGTGATAATATGTAATGATTATAAATTATTATTAATCAGTTATTTATATTCAACAAAATATTTCATAAAAATACATATCACAATCTTGTCATATTACAAATAATTACTAAATATATATCTTTATGTAGAGGAAACTATCCAAAAGCTTTAACGAATTACGAACGTGGTCTAGTCGACTACAATACGTCCACTTTGGCTGTGCAAAATCCTAATCATCGAACCCAATGTTTAGCGGGAATAGCGAGAATGTCTATAAGATGCGGTGACAGTAGAAAAGGCGTTGGTATAGCCATGGATAACGAAAGTTCGAGGATACTACGGAAAGAATGTGCGGAGATTTTAGAATCAATGAAGCAATTCAGTGAAGCTGCACAGTTATACGAAAAGTCCGAATATTTCGATAAAGCTGCCTCTGCATATATAAAATTAAAAAATTGGCACAAAGTGGGACAGCTCTTACCGCAAATATCGTCGGCAAAAATTAATATACAATATGCTAAAGCCAAAGAATCTGAGGGTAAATACGAAGAAGCTGCCAAAGCATATGAAACCGCCAAGGATTACGATAACATAATCAGAATTAATTTGGAACATTTAAATAATCCTGGTAAATATATATCGTATCTTGTTTTGCTGTGTTTTACAAGATATATTAATAATATTCAAATGACATGCTTAATTATATTATTTTATTCTACAGCTCGTAGTGTTGAAGTTGTTCAACAAACTAAAAGCATAGAAGGTGCAAAAATGGTTGCAAAGTATTTCCAAAAGATGAATGACTATAATTCGGCTATTAAATTTCTAATTCTATCAAACTGTCACGATGAAGCCTTTCAATTGGCAAATCAGCACGGCAAAATGGAATTATACGGAGAAATCTTGGTAAATACGATCGATGACACTAATGTCCGGAAAGAAGATTTTAGAAGCCTTGCAATGCATTTTGAGTCTCAGAAAAATAACCTTTTAGCTGGAAAATACTATTTCCACGCTAAAGAATATCAGAAGGTAAATTTGTAACGTTTGTGCAATCCTAAGTTTATTTATAGATACATAGTATCGACGTTTTGAGGGATTTCTTGTTTTAGGCTTTGCGACATTTATTAAAAGCTGCTCAACTAGTTCCAGACGACAATAGAGCGATTACTTACGCCATAGATACGATAGCATCTTCTAAAGATGATAAATTAGCTAATCAATTGATAGATTTCTTGTTGGGTGGCGATGGATTACCAAAGGTTATTATGTAATATTTATACATAAAAGTTGCTTAAAACACAAGAAGTATCAAGTGGTTATTATTAACCATTTCTATTTTTTAAATTAATATTATATTTTTATACGAAGATAGAAATCCGAAATTTTTGTAACTTCAATAATTATGTCTTTTATACTAATAAAATATTTGTGTTTTTTTTTTTTCATTACTCTCTCTTTTATTTTCATAATTTATTTGCTTAGTCTTTTTAATGAGTAAAAAAACATTCTAGTGTTAGGCAATTCTAATATGTTTGTATTTTCTATTTAGGATCCGAAATATTTATTCCGATTGTACATGGCTAGGAAACAATATAAAGAAGCGGCTAAAACGGCGATCATAATTGCAAACGAGGAACAAGTTAATGGTATGTATTTACGCCAATGATATGTACGCCCGAAAATGCGTAGCGCTGCAATGATAGATTTTTATATATTGCAGGAAACTATAGAAATGCTCACGACGTTCTATTCGGCATGTATCAAGAATTGAAGAGAAATAAAATTACCATACCCTTGGAAATGCAAACCAATTTAAGACTCTTGCATTCCTACATTCTAGTGAGATTGCACGTGAAAAGGAGTGATCATTTACGAGGCGCCCGAATGCTTATAAGGGTCGCCAACAATATATCGAAATTTCCTTCACGTTAGTATGACCACGGTAATTAATGCGAAAGAATGCTCAGTTTATGGTACAATAAATGCATTATATATTTTAGATATTGTACCGATATTAACTTCAACCGTGATAGAATGTCATCGGGCGGGCTTAAAAAATGCGGCTTTCAATTTTGCCGCGATGCTGATGCGTCCTGAGTATCGGGGACAGGTCGACGCGAAATACAGTAAGAAGATTGAGGCAATTGTCAGAAAACCACCGAGAACAAAGGATATCGAGAACGAGGATGAACCTCTTACCTCATGCCCATACTGCAAGAGCAGACTTCCCGAGACTGAAGTAACCTGTGATAAGTGTAAAAACACAATACCTTTTTGCATCGCAACGGTAAGACTTTAATTATCACTTACTAACAAAAATAAAAGAACACCAGTGAAGTTTTCATCGTTATTGTTTGCAGGGACGACACATCGTGGAGGATGATTTTACAGTATGCCCCCAATGCGATTTTCCAGCCATTAGAAGTGAATTTCTAAGGTAAATATCTTGATCAAAATTTTTTTCGGAATATTTATGCAAGTTGAAACATTTTTCAGAGAAAAATACTACAACTCTCTTTTCGAGAAAATCTTTTCTTAAAATTTATATTATAGAATTTTTTCTGAAATATATTCTAGGATATTTCTCATTTTTTATAATTTCTGAAAAAATTTAATTTTTTTAAATTGTATAAAAAATTATAGAAATTAAACAAATCTTAAAAATCTTAAAACTTTTTTTAGAAATCACGTATGAAGAATTTTAGAAATCACGTATGAAGACATTTAAAAAAAAGTGTTTAGAAGAGAAATTTTTCGAAAAGGTATACAATTACTCTGAAAAATTATGAAATTTGTATAAAAGTTTTGAAAAAAATTCTTTACCACGATATCATAAAAGAATGTAAATATTATTTAAGATTATCTATTACAATATAATTTATTACATCTAGAATTGTTGAATCCGAGGAGACTTGTCCGATGTGTTCGGAGAGAGTTAATTCCGAAGCTGTATCGTCCGTCACTGATATCCGTCCATACCTCGACTATCAGGAGGAGAAAGTGATTATAAAGGCTTAAACATGTAAAAGATTATGAAAGTTTAAATATGTATAAACTTTTTACATATTTAAGAGTACATAAAGGTATAAGCGGCAACTATAACTTACGTAAACTAGGGGTGCAATAGAGAGACAGAGTTTATATAGACATTTGCATATGTGCTGCACGAATCAGAGGTGCCTTGTTATTATCGCATTACCTCGGGTAAATGCGACATAATTAGGAGATAGCGGTACCTTTATCTACAAACAATAGCGGTAGTAAATAGACTATTCCTATTGACTTGGAAGAGCGATTGACAAAGCGTCAGTATTCTCGACACAACAGTGCCGTCCACTATAAGTACAATTTATCAGAGTATAAGTAGATTATATATATTATATGTATAAAAAGACTTATTGTCATTTGCTATGCGAATTGCATTTTAATGTAGATGATTGCCATAAATAAAATGACTGATTCTAATACATGATATATTGAACGAATCTATAGAAACAAAATATTATTAGGCCTGTTTTTTGCAGTTATTTGTCACTTGAAACAAGATAGATACAAATGGATGCTACAGGAAAGAAAAGGACAAAAGAAAATAAAGAACAAATCAGTTTTGTTCTTTCATATGAAAGAAAAGACAAGCTATAGCTTGTTTATGTATTTATGATCGAAAACTATTTTTAATAGTCGGATTAAATTATGATATACACTCTCTACACTTAAAATAAAATAGATATTTGTTTGAAATTTGACGAAGTTTGAAAAGAAAAAATCTCACAGTGCAGTAATAAAAAAAATTAGTCATTCTGAGAAAAATTAAAGAGATTGTTTATATATATATATATATATATAATTTCTATTAATATATTGCGTACGTGCGTGTGTGTGTGTATACGTAAATTAACTTCAATTTTTCAATTTAGCTTTATATTTTTTCTTATTTTAAAAATTAAAACTATAAAAATTGATAAATATTCGAGCATTACAGACCAAAATACGTTTAATAAACATAAAAAAAATCGCATGATAAACATATAAATTAAAAAATAACGTTTATAAAATTTGATACGTTGTGAACGTTATAAAAACATAAAGCTTGTATTAAATAACTAAAGATTGAGATTGAAAAATTAACGAATAAAAAAAACCAATGTTCAATAAACTTCATTTTAATTTCAATTTCAATTTCTAGTTTAATAGAGGCTTAAGACATTTATAATGTTTATTTAACATCTTTTCTTTTTTGTTAATTAAAAAAAATCATTCAAAATATCGTTTTTAAATAAGGCATTTAGACGGTTTTATAATAAATTTATATTTAACGTTTATATCAATTTAATGTTTTTATATATTATAAAAACATTTAAAATGTTTATAGCTAAACGTTTGTATAAAAGTATAAATAGTCTACTTTTAGATAGATATATCAATAGACATTAATAAAAATGAATATATCTCGAATAAAAAGCCACGATAACCCAAGGAAAACACAAGTCATAATATCAAACTGACGCTAAAATCATTACCAAAGTTACTTTTAATCATTTATGGTTTATTTTAATGTTATTTTAACATTTTCGTGATTTAATTGTTTTGCAAAAAAAAACGATTGTAATTACTACTGTAATATTTCTAAAATATTTTATTGCAATATTTCAGAAATTTTTTCTATAAAATATTTTTTAAATACAAGTATATTTAGAAAAGAGTTTTGAAATATTCTTGTACTTATAATATTTCTTTCAAGGTTCTTTAAAGATTCTTTCAAGATATTTTTCAAAATTCTTTCTAAAATAGTTTGGTAAAATATTTTAGTACAACATTTTAAAATATTTCTGAATTTCAGAAAATGATTATATGTATAAATATTTCACTGTATACGATGGACAAAAAATATAATAGGCATGGAATTTTAGGATGGATAGAGTTGCTGGTCTCGCGACCTCGCGAGTTGTTTTGCGTTATATAAAAAGAAAGAAAAAAGTAAAAGTAACGAGGATGCTGTTATAATCATAATAGTATTCGTTCGGTCCCGTGACAGTCATAATTGCAGTGAGACTAACCTAATCGCGACGGCGCAATGTATGCATGAGACATATCTAGAGCACGTGACTTTACATAGCATGACTTTGAAGAATCGACGCGCATAATTATATACGTTTTTCTTCTTCTCGTAAATTACTAGATACAGGTCTTTGACGAGACTCTAAATATGTGACCGAGACTCTGAAATAAAATTGATAACAAGGCGGGAAAGCGATCTTTTTATAATTTTATTATGAAATTTATATAAGAAAATTTCACGATAGAGGAACGATAATTTCCCAGTCGATGCTCGGTAATCTTCTTTCCTCCCGTCGCGACATAACTGTTTCTCGCTCGACAAGGAGAGAGGAAGTGAGAAACGGTACACTCGGCATTCTAGGCTTCGCGGAAAAGCAAATGAGTACAACTAAGTAATACAGAAGTACAGATAATTATATACTTTGTATATATTGATACAATTAACCCAGTGGACACCAGTTAAAAATAACATCAAGTTATGATTCCCCTGGCAGAAATAAAAATCGGAACGTAAATCGAATAATCGTATAAAGAGACAGTATAAAAAGAAGCGTAGACGAAACTTGAGCGTTCTTTTATATTTTGTTGTTTCAATTTTCGCCCCTTTTAGAAGTTTCATTTATTTTTCTGTTATCTTTTCCTTATGTTCAACTTATACTCTGATTTTTATTTTCGCTAGAGTCCAACATTCAACAATATAACTGTTATGTAACATCATATATTTATATTACATGTAGTTATAATATTTATGTCTATTTCTACCAATGTAGATTAACTTTAATTTTAATTCAATTTATTCTTATATTTTTCTAGTTTCAAGTATTTAAGAAAATGAATTTAATTGAGATTGAAGTTATAATCTACATTAGAAACGGGTATTATATCGTTGAATGCAAAATTATAACATAGATATATGTATATATTTCATTTTATATTAACTAGAAACGTTTTCAAGTTCCTATAAACTTTAAATGGATCATCGAAATGTCGAAATAAATGTCCGAAAAGCTGAGCACACGCAACTGCGAAGATTCGTCGTTTCATATCATGACATTCTATGTGTACGTTGACACTAGTTACGTCAATCGCTAAGATGCAAAGTCTTAATTTTTTGCTATATTATATATCATATATTTACTAGTCTATCACGATATACGTATATCGATGCACTCAGCAATAATAATGAGTCGTTAATGATTTTCGAAGCAGAAATTATGAGATTTATGGCCGCGGGCTGCACGGTTTATTAGAATTGAAAATTGTAATCTGAAAAATGAAGGTAAAAAAAGACGAAAAAAAGGCAATTAATTAGAACACATTAATAAACTAGTAAAATGTAACTAATTATTAAATTAAAGACGAATTAATTGGCAAATTAATTTATATTTCATAAATTAATTCGTAAGTTTTATTTATGATCTTATTGGAAAACTAATTTTTACGAAAATTGAAAAGTATGTCATACGAGCTGTGACATATTAAAATGGCATTGCTTTTGAAATCTTTATATTAAAATATTTGTACTTGACGTTAAAGTTTAACATTAAAGAGAAAAAGAAGATTCCGAGTACGAGAACCCAAGCAAAACAACAAATTACAAAAAAATGATATATTAAAATGAATTATAAATGATTGAAAAGTAACTTAGTATTTTGGAGTCATTGTCACGTCATTTTGCTGTCATGATGACTTGTGTTCTGCTTAGGAAGTGTAAGAGTAACGTGAACAAATCTTTTTCATGCGGAAAACAGCCTCTCGCGATCGTCTTTTGAATTTTGGGACCATATTAGAGACCCTGTATGTATATCAAAGTCCGGCCACAAACGATTTTGTCGAAATTCTACTATAGAAATATGATAATATATATATATATATGTACATAAAATTTATATATATATACTATATCACTTTAACTTTTATCGTCTTGTATAGATATACTCTATTATCCTATTACATATACAATTCTCTAAAGTCTGTGGAATCTCGACACACTAAAGAGTATAAATTGGGCCAGTCTTGAAAAAGAGTGACTCAATTTTTAATTTTTAAGAGTAAAATCTTACTCTTTAGAATTCCTGTAAAAGTTTCGAAAGTATTTCTCTCTCTCTCTCGTAAAGGAATTTTGTCAAAATCGTTTACGGGCAAACTGGAATCTGAGAGTACTCCGAGTCTCTCCAGTACGTGCGGCCCTGCGACGCACCACCGCGGTGCAGCCACGTAGAAGGCAACTAAAGGCGACTCTCTCGTCTCTCTGCATCGCATACGTCCACATGGGCGGAGGGAAAGGAGTGGAAAGGAGAGAAAAACGGCGCGGCGGGAGAGGCAAGGGAAACCATACGTAACGACGTAACGCGCACCGGTACGCATCGTTCGTGTCGTACGATTATCGTCGCGCGCGCCGAATCCGAGTCGTCATTCTCATCGGCGAGCGGCGCCTAGTCGGCCGACATTAGTTCGCGGCTTCCCGACGTTCCTCTCCATTTTCCCGCCACCCTGCTTCCTAGTGTATTGCGGTACTCTCTCTCTCTCTCTCTCTCTCTCTGTCGTTCTCGTCGGTAAGAGACAAGCACGCGTCGCACACATAGACGTCATCGTGCGTACACGAACTGCACGCATCATACAAGTTCGGGAGCGCGCACGCTGCGTCTCGGTTTCTCTCTCCCGGCGCGGTTGATCGTAACCTCTCGTTTTCCTCGCCGGCACACCTCTCTGTACTTCTCGTCCACTGGGTAGACGAGATCGGTCCTCAGTGGTCAAGTCAGTTTGGTTTTGGTCAAGATGGCCGAGAAGATCGGTTCGCCGGCCGTCGCGACCCCGGAACAGCAACAGCAGTCGCAGTTCCTGTCGAACTTCATCGCCGAGATCGTCAAGAGTCCATTGAACCTCGCCCTCGTGGGCGTGATCGCTATCCTGGTCTACAAGATCGTCAAGAGCCGTACGCGGACCGAAGAGCCCGTGCAGGAAGTGAAGAAGCTGCCGAAGCTACGCCGCGATTTCGCGATCGAGGAGCTGACCAAGTACGACGGCAAGGGCGCGGACGGTCGGATACTCGTCGCCGTCAATGGCAGCGTGTACGACGTCACCAGAGGCGCCAGGTTCTACGGCCCTGGTGAGTCGCCGCCGCCGGGGCACTTCGCATCAGCGGATCAATTTTCCCTCACCCGCCGATCTCTGTCGCACAGATCGCGCTTGTTGCACGATATTTTTCCCCTTCCCCCTCTTCCCAATCATAATTTTGTCCTCCGTTTCTTCCTCTTCCCTTCTCTCTCCCCCCCTCTCTCTCTCTCCTTTTTTTTCTTTTCAATCTGTATTTCTTTTTCTCTCCGCGACTTCATTAGCAGTTTTTTTTTTTTTACATTAGTCTCGAAGGAGTGTCCGATGATATCATGCACTGCGCGAGCAAAAATAAAATCGCGAAAGTCTCGCGATCGTCACGACCAATTGTGCCTCTCCAATTGCGCCGCGATACTAAGCTAACGATAGCAGTTTATCACGTTCCGTGACGTATAGCGAGGAGGTTTCGCTCAAGTATGTAACACGGACGGGATGCATAAAGCTGTTCTTTTTACGGTTTACCTTTCCACTATGAAGGAAAAAAAAGAAAGATAAACTTGAAAAAAATCAGCTGAAAGAACAAACGTACAATTTACGAAACTCGAGAACGGAAAATTGTTTTCGGAATCGATAAGTCCACCGCAAAACGATAAAATAGATAAGCGATTGACAATCACTTTGGGATACGAAGGAATGTCGGACACTCGTTCTTCTTATTTTACATTCTCTTTGATTTTTAATAAAGATAAAGCTATGTTCAACAGAAAAGCAGCTTGGCCACAGTTATAAAATACTTTAGTCTGATATGATAGATCTTTGGTTTTTCACTGGATTTAAATGTGTACACTAATAGCTACATTTAACAGAAAAAAACGGCTCTACAACTGTTGTAAAATTCTTTAATGATTATTTTGTACTTTAGATCCCTAAGGCAAGAATCAAACGTATTAAAGAATTTTACAAAACTGCTTTCTTTATTGAATGCAGCCATTGGTCAAGTTCAGCAAAATGTTTATTCTGCAATCGTTGACAGTTTTCTTCGCGAAAGATAGAATATATTTCTCTAGTATCTAAAGTATAATCCAATCAAAGTGAAGAAAACTTTTAACAGTTGTAAAATAAACAATCTGCTAAACGCAGTCAATCATATTAAAGAATCTTACGATATTTGCGAAGTTGCTTTTTCTGCCGAATGCAGTCAAATGTATAAAGAATTAGTTACATACCTTTAGTCAAAAGAGATTGTACATGATGTGTGCAAAAATCTTTCGAAAATCTTATGATTAATATATGGTATAAATATATGGTATAAATGGATTTTATGAGGGGAAGGGGGGAGAAAGATTTATTTGCTTCAATTTTCATGCATAATTAAAATTATGTGTTTTGAATAAGCGATAATAGTTCTTCTAACAAAGAAAGAAATGAGAGATGAAACTATTTTGCAACAATGCACTGATTATACAATTTATATATGTAAGAAATGAGTATTATATCACTTATGGAATTTCTATTTTAAAGTTAGTTATTATTAGTAGAAAAAAAGACTTGATTTATAAATTTCAATCCACACAAATTCATTTATACTTTTTACTTAATGCTTATATAAAACTTCACAGAGTAAATACTGTTATAGGTGGACCCTATGAGACATTTGGTGGTCGAGATGCCAGTAGAGCACTTGCAAGGTTTGAAGTGGCCGCAGCGACGGATAAATATGACGATCTAAGTGACCTGAACACTACAGAAATGAATTCTATCCATGAGTGGGAAGAACAATTCAAAGGTAAAGTATATTGAATAAACGATAGTTCTTCCAACAACAGGAAATGAGATATAAAGCCCGCGGCACTGCTTTAATATATTTATTATATGTAAATTATATATGTAAAGAAATTAATACGAAACTCGATCTTATCTTAACATCAATTCTCATTAATAGAACACTTTTTTGGAAGTGTTATCTGTGTAGAGCACGCGTTCTAGGATGACGTAGGCTGTGTTTGGTTCGAACACCTTCAGCACTTTCGATGCTTTCATTCTTGTTTCACATTCTTGTTTAATGAACGTTAAAGACAGAACGATGATAATAAGCGTTTAAAGTAAATGAGCGTTAAACCGAACGTAGCTTTATATAATAGTTAAACATCTTATTGATAGGATATAAACTTTTACATTCTATGTAAATAAATGTTCTTTCTAACATGTTTTTTTCACCTATATAAGATAACATATTCTATTTCTAAGTCAATATTACAAAAGCATTGACTCTCATGAATAATGAATGAGAGCATAGTTCAAGGCTTTTTTTTATTGCTTGCATCCGTTTTAGCTTACAAACGTGATGTTTAAAATAAATATAGAAACTTGTAACTAAATTATTTACAAGAATGATAATATTATAGATAAATTTGCTTTAATTACAGAAAGATACGATTATGTTGGGAAATTATTAAAGCCTGGCGAAGCACCGACAAATTATTCCGATGAAGAGGATGAAGGTAGTCAACGGGAGACTGAAACAAAATCAGAAAGCTATGATGCAGAGAAAAAAGCGGATCATAGCGAGACCACCGAAAAATCAAAGAGCGATTGACCGCATGATCGTATATTGGAGGCAGAACTGTTACAGGAGCACACTACGCACACGCTGTTGTTACAGAAATCTTTGAAATTGTCGCTCATGAATATATTTCTGGACGTTCGGCCGAATATTTTATTACTTGGTAACGGTAACCGGATAAAGAAGCGAAACGCCGGCTTTTAATATCGCATTGGAAATACACAAAACACATTTCCGAAAAAGCTGGTAGTTATACTACGTGAAGACTTTATTTGGGCGTACAGTTCGCCGATCAGCGTGCTGACGCTCGTGTCTTTTAATGTTTTTATATATGTACAAAAGATTTTCTACCAAAAACGCTAAGCCGAATCAGTGGCATGTAACAACATACATATTCCATTGTAGATTCTTGTTGAATTACTTGTATTCCGCTGTACAACATGCGATGACGGTACGCGCCTGTACTCACACGAATACAGCGATATGATAAAGCTGACGTTGCATTTGAAGTTTAGTTTTAAGTCTGCTTTATGGAATTTAAGTCCTCTCGCGGTCATGCAGAATAGCGAATTTAAAAAGAGCCACCGAATTGGGGGAGAGAAAGATCACACAAACAGGTGCATACACTTTGAAGTAATAAGCTTGCAAATGATCCGAGTGGCGCTCATTAATTCTGACCAAGCTCTAAGAATATAGTTATATAATGTTACACTTTTAATATATAATTGTATCAGATATGTGATTATTATCAAATAATGGAAAATGTACACTGATTCAGAGGTCTCTCATTTGCGATCGTCTCAATGAGGCAAATTGCATTTTTTTCTTTTCGTGTAAAAGTTTTAATCATTGAAGTAAAATATCGGAAAAACTGAGCATAACGCGTGCGTCTTTAACAATTTGTTTTACACAAATGGAAGTAACAAATGTATAAAATTTTTTGTGGTGGATTTTAGCATTGTAAAGTTTTGTTACAAGAGTTCAATAGAACCGGTATTCATAGATAATTAATTTTTGTTTTTAGACAGTCTTAAGTAATGGCTTGAGATGTAAATCGATATATAAATCTGTTTAATTTATAATAGTTTTGGACGATCTTAAATGTAAGAATGGGCTATGAATACCGATCTAGAATGTTACATTTATAAATATTCGCGTACTTCCACGTAGTGTTGTCTCCGACACTGCGGCGCATCGATTTATTAATGCTGTTTAATGGCTTTATTCACCAATAAAATATGGTTTTGATAAACCGTTATATCTGAAAATAAATTACGAATAAAGATTATTAGAGTTATGTTAAATAAACAAAAATATATATGTATATAAATATATATACATATATATATATATATATATATATCTATATTTCTACGTACACGTGACAAGTTTGCATGCACTTGTGTATAATTTAAAATTATGTTGGTATAAGTCAAATTGTATTTTACGTCTTGTTGCGGCATTTAAAATAGGAAGAAAATTATTTATTGTATATCACGCGTCGTGCTATAGTTACTCGAAAAAAATGGTGTATATTACTTAACATGGTTAGATATTACTGATTGTGGCAAATAAAGTTTTATTATTGTTTATATTAATCCAACGGCGAGTACACATTCAGTTTGATCGTCATGTACATGAAGAATATATGAATACTTTTATTCTCTAATTAATTATTTGGGAAGAATTTTTCCTCTCCATTCTCGAAAAGCAGCGATATTTAATGTTGTATGGATATATATTATTTAACGGATGTAATTTACAGAGACGATAAAAATAAATTTGTATAATTTTAAAATAATTCATAAGCAACGCGTTAAAATGCAAGTAATCGGAATAAAAGATGTTTTTATTTCAAACATTCAAAGTAAATTTTAACTAATAGCTGAATGCCTGCTGAGCTTTATGTACTTCATTTGTTTCTAATATTCTGTCATGTGATTGTTTCATCTTGAAGACAATCGCATTTTATTATGAATCGACAAATTTTGGATGCGTTCGCTTTTCGCGCTTACAGGCTGTCAGCATTATTTTATCTATCAAATATTAAACAAGGACGAATGATGATTACTAGCACTGAATGGTATACTGGCGGAATGATCACTTCCATGTTTTTACATAGAAGAATATCGAGCCTACGATAGATTTTCGGTAAAGTGATAGAGTCCTATATATAAAGAGAAGCGACATTATACTTATTAGACCACTCCAGGATTCTCTAAACGTTTTTTCGATAATTATTATCGTCAGCCAATCATGACATTTATTCAGTGGTATTAAAATGGCTGACTAATAGATGATTGGTGGATTTTATATTTCGTCTGCAAACGACGCCATTTTTATTATTTTTCTTAGTAATTTTGCGATACTGACTTAAGCCGGTTGCGCTTCTCTGATATCTAGGACTCTAGAGTGCACCAGTGTTACACTAGTTTTCCCAAAGAAAGAAAGGGAAGCGCTATTACACAGCTGCTTCACTTAGGAGGGGACACCCAATCGGAATACATATCAGACTGCCAATCAGAAACTCGAACATGAATGAGCGCGTTCAGCGGACTTAACAATTGGATGAGCGCTCGCTGTTGTTGGTATTCTTTTAGATCATCCGATCGGAATTTTAGACCTAAAGCCCATGACACATAGAAAAACGTATGACCGTAAACATAATCAGTAAGCGAATTGACCAATCACAGTTGAGAACGCAAGCAGCCGCCGCTTACGTTCTCAACTATGATTGGTCAATTCGCTTACTGATTACGTTTACGGCCTTACATTTTTCTACGTGCCATGGGCTTAAAAGAATGCACTAATAGAGAGCGCTTACTCAACTGTCGAGTCCGTTGAATGCGCCGCTTTTATGCAAAAGCATGGCTCTCATTGGCTATCGCTCGCCGCTTCACCGCTGCGCCGCTCTGGTCTGTAGGCTCCTTTATGCATTTCATGTGCGATAGGCTTAAAGCGGGGAGCACAGACTTTTGCATAACGCATAAAGCATGTGCATAAGGAATTTCATTGGCCCATTTTCTTATGCATGAGTCAATGGATCAATCAAATTCTTTATGCATATGGTTTATGCGTTATGCAAAAGTCTGTGCTCCCCGCTTAAGACCGCAGCACACACTTTTGCATAAGCCCGGATCCTCATACGGGCAAAAGCGCTTTGACACCAAACGCTGATTGGTGAAAAACCGGTGGCGAAGGTAAAATTTATCCCCATAACCCGTTTTTCACCAATCAGCGTCCGGTGTCAAAGCGCTGTTGTCCGTATGAGGATCCGCGGGCTAACGCATAGCGCGTAATGCATAAGCGAATCAACAAATCAGAATTCTTCCTTTCCTCTCACTTCAAAGAAGAGAAGCATTTTGATTGGCTGTTTCTCCGAATGCATCGTTTGAATGCAGAAAGCAAAGTGCATTAACAAAGATCAAATCTAATAATTGACATTAGCTGCATTCAGTAGAAAAAATTGATTAAGCCTGTTTTACAATAAGATCGCAAGCCGTGAGCCGTAAGAAATGAACCAATCAAAATTTATTATTTTTTTCATATTCAATTATGATTGGCCAAATTTTTACGGTTTACGATTTGCGATTCTATTGTAGAACAAGCATATTAGTGAGTGTTCAGTGATTTTTTAATATTATTGTTTTTTTTTCGCCTTTAGTTTGCTGGATCTAAATGTAAGAACCAATTATTTCAAAGATTAACTGAATGTTCAATGATCAGTTTTCTCTACTAAACACAGCCAAACGATGCTTTCCATTTAATGGCATAAAAGTCTCGTTCTGTTTTAGTTACTTCTTGTCAAGAAAGATGGAGTAATGTTTGTGTCGATTTGTGCAATTAAATACAATAACAAAAAACACCTATTCCAATATATGCTCTCTTTATATACATATTTTAGTACGACACATTTCTACTAGATAGTAGCACAGCGATATAATTTGTTCACTTTGCTATCTACTCTCTGTTTTATCGACATACATTTTAATGAAGTTCCTGTTCGAGCAGAGATCCTGTATTTGACGAATTAAAACCCTGTCGACACAAGTTGTGAGGAAATAAGCATTTGATTTAATTCCTTCTTATGACTAATAATGCTTTCTTTATTATTTGTATTTGAATTATTCAAAGCTGTCGGACTATACTTGCCACCTTCCTGCCCCATTTAAATTAATTAAAGCATTATGGGAATGGAATAGTATAAAATACAGCTGGTCACAGATAGCTCAGAAATTGATCGAGTTTCAACAAGTTTTTAAGGAATTTTGAAAATAGGTCGCAAGCCGCTTGTTTCCAAAAAAAAAAAAAAAAAAAAGAGAGAAAAAGCTAAGAAATAGCTCTGGGAGTTATGTTTAGTTTATGAAAACGAGTTTTGGTTGTGTTTATCTCGTCTCACGGTAATGTTTCTTTGGGAATATGCGACTAAACTCGAGGGAGGCTTCAACCTTACCTCTTCAATCCACAGCATAACACACACGACGATTACGTATACTGCGTCGTCAGTGCGAGGGAATATAGCGATAGCGATAGGAATAGTATAGTTTCAACTTATCAGAAATATCGGATACATCGGAGTTTTTAATAGATTAAAACTGTGTTATTCCTCGCGCTATCGCTATTCCCTCGCATTGTATCTTGGGCTTTACAGTTGAATAGACATATACATCCCTTATTATGATTCACCTCATACTTTTGGTAAAAATAATAAAGGTTGGAGTGGAAATTGAAAATATAAAGAGAAGGTGGAGAAGCGTAAATGAAAATTGGAACATGCGAATGGGAACCTAATAAAGGGAAGCGTTTGAAGAAAAAAACACGCAAAACAAAAACTAATTAAACGTATTCTATGTATATACGTTTTGTTTCCTAGAGGGGTGCATTTAGATTTCTACTTAATAAATGCTTCCCAAGTATCATGTTATTCTTATCTCCAGTTTTAACATTCGGTGAACATCAAGGATAAAACAATACCTGGATTGCAGTGCGGTGGGATCTAAACATAATCTATATAATTCGCGTGTGTGCTTATATGCTACTCGATCTCTCTTCACTTTTACAATTAAATTCATAATAGTTTTAAATTATATTCGATTTGAATTATAATATTTTTAATTATTAGATATTTTTATAGATTACAACTGCTCCTATACTCTCATTATGTTATTGATTTGACTAAAATAATAGAGTTAAACAATTTAATTTAAGAAAATGCTTTAAACTTAACTAAAATTTAGTTTATTATTTACTAAATACGTTAATGTAAACGTTGTTTACTTTTAGAAAAAATTATAGAAATGGATTAATTAATATTTTGACGTATGTGAAAGTTAAAAATATGTTCTTTATAATTCAGGGGATTGGGATTGTCATTTGCTCTTTTGATGTATTTAACGGTGTACATTTGCTCAACATCTTTATTTTTGCCAGAGATTCTATTCGAAAAACATGTTTTTGGAAAGTTCTTATATGTTCAATAAGGAAACACACCAAAAATTACAAGAGAAATGATTTATTTTGACGTCATAAAAGTTAAAATAGTTATTTTTAATCAATAAATTTGATTGTTTATTGACTTTAAAAGTTAAAATAAAATCATCTTGATTTTTTGTTGACTTTTATATGTTTCTTGGGGGGTAAGAAATTTAGGTGACATAAAGGACGTTCTCTGGATGTCTTTAGATTCTTTAGAATGATCTTTAGGTGTCTGTGCTGTGTATAGGGAATCTTGCGACGATGCGAAGGATCGATTCTCGATCGGTGAATAAAGAGGTCGGAGTGTTTCTAATTAAAACGCCGACTGGGGGGGAGAGAAGTGCGAGCGAAAACACCGTGCCTGAAAGTTTCATCTTGAAAGCTTTACCCTTGCGGAAAGTGCGCTTCGGAGGCGTACCGCGCAACCTCAAATCGCGAAGCACTTTGAGAATGAGAGATTTACATATTCGTTTTGTACATTCACAGAAGGAGATGCACTCTTCCGTAAATCTCTGTCTCTTTATTCTCGATTGCCACTAATCGAAAATTAGCAAAAGAGAGATCCGTGCGGTTCACCGAGAAATTTAGCAACTATAATATAATTTATTATTCAATGACGTGAATATTTAATCCTTCGTATTGGCTATCTATTGTGGATCCTCCACTCAATTATAAATCTCTTTGTAAGAGAAATGTCAAATAATTAAATTTTTTTCTTGTTATATGATCAACTGATTTTCTATAGTTGATTTAGTAGGGCAGAGCGGATGAGTTAGTTTCAACTTTAAAGTAATACGAAAATTTAC